ATTGATGAGATTTATGACGTGTACAAAGATATTGATAGAAGGAAAACAATTTAAAAAGTGGTTTTGATATTTGCAGTCCTCATGCTATGGAACAGGTGAATAAATAAAAAATATTGGCAAACGAAGCAAAACAAACACTTAAGGCGCCAACTTGTTATTGTTAGGAAACGGAAATAAGTATGAAGCTATTACCAAATGAAATTGGCGTACGTGTACAGGTTGGCCAAGGTGGGTATAAATCACTTGCCCAAATATAGAGTTTCTTAATTTCGCTTGTTCGCTCCGCTCGCTTACAAAAAAATGATGACTCTATATTCTACCTGAAAATGAAATGTTATCACCAGGATATATTAACTTAGACATGATCTAAAAAACTGGAAATTCTAAAATGTGCTTGAATATGAGGTGGTGGTTACCCGAACACTGATGGTAATTTCAAAATTAGCCGCCTAGATCCTCCCCTTGCTGGTTCATGCTAAAATAATGTAGTCAATTAATATGTACTCAATCATGTGGGATTTTTGTTCGTCAATTTAACCCCAATTAAAATGTAAATACTATGGTTAGGTACACACATACGAGCTGGTGATACGTTTTTTGTTGTTGCAACAAATCAAATATGAATATTCTATGATCAATCATATAGGAATAATTGAAACTTGTTTTTATGGTTTTCGCTTTTTACTCCTTGCCTTGGTTACCAACTGCAAAACAAGGGGGATTAGAGGTGATGGATCGGCTCTATGAGATAAAACATGCAATAAATCTTATGATTATTAACTTATAATAGACTGATGATTTTCTAACAAAAAATGAACTATTGTATGAAAATCAATATGGTTTTAGAAAATTTCATTCAACGGAGTTAGCATTGTTACAATTATTTGATAGAGTGTCAAATGCCTTAGCTGATCATAAGCATGTTATTGGAGTATTCATGGATCTGAGCAAGGCATTTGACACTCTTGACCATACAATACTTATACGTAAATTGGAATACTATGGATTGAGGGGTGTCGCTATACAATAGTTTAAAAATGATTTAACAAATAGAAAACAATATGTATGTTATGATTTAAATGAATCAGAATTATTATCTATAACGTGTGGAGTGCCACAAGGGTCAATCCTCGGCCCTTTGTTATTTCTGATATATGTAAATGATATTTATAATTCATCAAATGCACAACAGTATATTTTATTTGCTGATGACACCAATGCATTTTGTTCCAATTCAGATTTTCAGATCCTTTTAAGAAATATTAACGCTGAATTACCAAAATTATCAAAAATGGTTTAGAAGTAATAAACTGTCTCTTAAATTAAAGAAAACAAACTATATATACTTTCAGAACAGAAAAAATAATGATATTCCTGACATTGAAATTACTTTGGATGGTGAATTATTGGAAAAAAGGATAGCAGAAAATTCCTTGGTGTTTTGATCAATGAAAATCTGAGATGGAATAATCATGTGCAATATATTTCTAATACTATTTCACGTAATATTGGTATTCTCTGTAAATTGAAATATGATGTCCCTTCAAATATCTTGTTTATGTTATATAATTCATTAATACTGCCATATATTTCATATTGTAACATTATATGGGCAAATTCGAAAAGTAACGTTGACACCATTTTACTGTTACAAAAGAAAGCAATGCATATATATGTACTGATTCTTCCTATCGCGACTACACCTATCCTTTGTTTTCAAAACTAAAAACTCTAAAAGCTGATGATATATATATTCTACAAATAGCACTTTTCATGTTTCGTTTACAAAATGGTCTACTACCTTCATATTTCCCCCCATTGTTTAATTTGAATAAAACCATCCACTCTTACCCTACAAGGCAAACTGAAAAATTCCATTTAAGAAATCCAAAAACCGCATTGGCTCTCAAATCCATAAGACACGCAGGCCCAGACATTTGGAACTCTCTGCCCATTGTAATAAGAAACCTTAGGACATTGTATTCATTTAAGAAGGCAGTTAAAACTATGTTATTGTCTAAGTATTGATCCTGTCGTGTGTAATTGTACTGTATTCATGTTCGTGTGTACATTGACTGTACATTCAACAATAGGGACTTTTAGATTCGCACGAAGACAATAGGTCTATGCTACGATCGACGTCCTTTTAAAGCACTGCCGTGAATGGAAGTACCACGTATCAGTCCACGCAAATCTAAAAGTCCCTAATGATGTGTAATCGTCCATGACCTAGCATCGTTTAGCCATTCATGAATGAACCTGCATTCAATCAGCAGATGTACGAGATTTATTGTATTATTACCAACGCTCCTTCTGTCCCCTTTCCTTTTCTTCTCTGCAAGTCACTCTTTTCTATTTTTAAATTTTTTTATTGTTGTATCTAAGATGAGGGCTGCGGGCACTTCAAGCTACTTTGCTTATTTCTGAGAATGGGGCATGACAACATCACAATCCACTGAACAAATGCTTATTTGTAATTCGATTTAATAGATTTAGTGATCTCATGATTCAAATATTTATAACTCTTGTTATTGGTCCGATTTATTTCAAAATTACGTCAACCCGTTTCTTAAATCAGGTTTATTAAACCGATTGTATTCATACTTGCCATATCTCCATACTCTTGATATGACTACAAATTAAAATGGGTTTAGATTAATAACTCTTTTTAGGAGAGCAGGCGTCGTCTTCGTTGCTGTACAGTCAGCTTCATGGTCGATTAGTCGCCGGCCAATCGACCATGAAGCTGACTGTACAGGCCATCATGTAGCAACAAAACAGCTGTCCAGACATAAATCGACAATAATTAGCCTATATCTGATACAGGGGCACTTTATATTGAAAACGCTACCAGCCCCCAGTGGTTTTGTGGCCCTTTGGACGCCATATTGGATTTCGTGGTTTCCTGAACCACTGCATAACGTTCTAACCTATCTTAAAAGATTCTATGACCCCGAAAACCATAGCATAGACACCCCAATTATGTTTCTGGGATGGATAATAAGTGACTTATGGCCACTTTTATATTATGGCGGCCATTTTGGACGCCATCTTGGAATTTGGGTTTTCTGGACCATCACAACCCATGCTTACTTGTTTCAATGGATTCTCTGAGCCCCAAAACTATGGGATAAACATAAAAATGATGTCTTTATGATTGATAATAAGTGATTTATGGTCATTTGTAGGTATCGACGGCCATCTTGGACGCCATCTTGAGAATAACAGCTTTCTGAACCTCCGATTAAGGTATACTTTCAGAATGTTATTTCTGAGGTCGAATACTTCTAGAAACCGTTGAAAAACCTTTTGTCGCAATTTTGGAGGGTCAAACCATTGACCCGACTACAACTTACATCTCTCTTGTAACTTGCTAAGCTCCACCCCAAAAAACTCCAGATCTCATTCCCCTTGTGACATCATCTGTCAGTCATCAATGAGCTAACTTGAGAAAGTGGCAAGTAACTTTGCCAAAGTTGACCACCTGTTACAATACCACAAACAATAGCAACATATAAGTTGCTATGTCAGACATGTCAGACTAAACTAATATTCTAGAATAGACAATGTTATGTAATTTCCCCAGCTTAGCACACGTTCATAATAGAATTGCATGCTTCCATACATAATGTACATCATAAAGACATCATCATTGCCTTTGTCTTCCTGGTTATGCTACAGCATGTCTGACATAGCAACTTGTATGTTGCTATTGTATTAAGTATTGTAACAGGTGGTCGACTTCGGCAAAGATACATGCCCACTGACAGAAGTTTACATATCAAAATATGAGATGTATGCTGGACTGCACACCAACAGGAATACACTTGTATTTCAATGTCATGGGCCCTTTAAACCGTATATTGACCCGACAATTGGTCTAGCGGTACGTACACTCGGTGTCAGCATGGTAAAGCTCTCTGTCTTCGCCTTCAAACTTAGACGGACCCCGATTCAAAACGGAGTCACGTGCACGTCTTTTGGATCTTTGGATGGTGACCTTACGACGTGTTATAAATCTCGGTTCCCATCATGTTTCATTGATACACGTCTGTACAGCCCAATGACATAGAACAACAAGGCTCAACTCATATTTTAATAGTGAAAATTAAGCCAAAAATTACCGTCAGCATTCAGCCAATGAATGTGTAATGGAGCTTTGATTCCTCTGAACTTTTCCCCCGTAGGCACGAACAAACACTTTATATGACTTAACTATGCATCTTACTGCATTACTTGTCCGTATTTGGTAAGGAACAACAGAAGGAGAATTTAAAAAAGTTTTTTTTTATAGGATGCAAGGCGCAGTATAAATTAATGAAAATACAAAGAGGCGTCAATGAATTTTACTAACTGGAAGTTATAAAAAAAAAACATGATCATGACCATCAGGCAAATATTTAGTCATCAAATGATTTTGTTTTACGATTTTAATATACTTCCCGGAACTGTTCCTATTACGCACATACAATTATTGAACGAACTTCTTTTTACAATAGATAGTTCAATTATATTTATGATGCACACGGCCCAAATGAACATCAACACCACCGTTTACCATATTTGGTAAACGATGATGATTAATTCATTTGGGCCGTGTGCATCATAAATATAATTGAACTATCTATTGTAAAAAGCGAATTGTTTATTACACTACCTCAACTTTTATCATACATGTACGTGAAAAGCTTTTACAGATATGGAAGAAAAAAACACAAAAGATTTGATTAGATATCTGTGTATAGAGAAGTGCCAAGTATTTCCGCCTAAATCCGAATTCTGTTTGCCTTTATGAACGTTGTCTATTGTCAGAATTCACGGCATGACGGCACGGCATCGTACACCACAACCTTGATTTCGTAACCCCTGGTTTTAGACATCGGCAAAAACAAAACAAAAATGATTATGATTATACCATTCTGCATTGGAGCATATCCCCACCTTGCGATAAATGCATAAATACGATGGTTCCGACGAAGTTCAGTTATCTCGTGAACTAGCCATCAAAGATGCTCTGGAAAGTTTCCACAATTAAGCACACGAAGTTCATTGTCAGTTGTTAAACTTGTCAGCAACCACGTTTTGATACTTACAAAAAGTTTTTGCAAAAGTAGTCGCCATCTGAACTTTGCAGTCAAGCAGTTTTAGAAATTTTGGGGGAAAAGAGTGGTCAATAAAAATCTGGACTGAAAATGAAAGGCGTTTACTCCATTAGTATTCTCCTCTTCTTTCTTGTCACTGCATCTTGCAATCCGGTCGATCGCTTTGATGCCCATGATAATCTCGATGATGATTTCCTCGATGCAGAGGACAGTGAAGAGGACCTTGCACCAGATGGCAGACCATTTGTAGATATAGTAAGTAAACCCTCATTTGCACTTTTTGTCTTGTTTTGTTTTATTTTATGTTTTTTTGATTTAGCAACAAAAGCGCTTTCCGAATATTTCGCATATATCATTATACGTTTCATCCATCATTATTAATCATTGTTTGTATAATAAAAATGAATTTCAAAGATTTTGTATTGGAATTTTTTGTGTCACTACTTCACTGCGAAAGACAATCTGTATTCATTTATCAAAGTGTTACCAAATGCATAAAAAACAACAAGTCATTGTTTATTTGTGAGTTTGACACAGCTTTGCAATTAAATATTCCAAAGATATATTTTCACCAGGTATAAACCAAGTTTTAATAAGACAACTAAATATTATCATTAATCAAGGTCGATTTCGACTTCAAACTTATTAGGTATTGCTGACAAAAATGAGGTCCAAATTGATTGTTCTTCGTTTGGATTATCAACCAAAATCAATAAGGGAACCGTTGCGCCCCCTGTTCATCCTTATAACACTTTCATCTTTTTAGAGAATTTTTTCCAATAGCAAACCTCACAAGAAAATAGAAATTGGATACTCTTGTTGATTTAGTCTCTTTTGGTTTTGTTCATGGTAAGTAAAAGACAACAGGGCTTATTGGCAGGGCTTTGTACACATAAACATAATTATATTTGTTATACTATTCGCGCTAGTAATAGCACTATTTTAGGATTGATAGTACTCTTATTTTTAATATTAATATACTTATACGCTTGTTTTAAGAACTTACTTCAACCCTCTAAATGTTGATCAAAACCATTGAGAAGAGGCGCCGGAAGCAGGCAAAGGGGTAGATGCACCCAACAATTATTATTTTTCCGCTTGAGGCTGGGCAAAATCAATTTTATCCCCAAAGGACCCCTCGCAAGAAGAAAAAAAATGTACATGTTATTACTTTGTATTACGACAATGTATAATAAAGTTTACAGTGCTATCATATGCAAACTTTCTGCACTTCGCTAGGTCACCACTCTCCATTGGAATTCAATAGAACCTGTATTTCTATACACTTTATTGTAAGCAAGGAGGCAAATGATTCCATCTATCAAAGGGATATATAGTTTTTGTCCCAATACAGTGAAGCGATCAGCTTGTAAGAGCTTAAAATGCAAAGATTCAACAGTGCTATATATGTATCTAATTTGTCTCATTTTGTCGCTACGTTCCCTTACACAAAGACGTACTTGAACATAAAAGCAGAGAATGTTAGTGTTCTAGAAACCCTGTCTCCCATAGTATAGACTTCAGCGGAAAATCATTTCTGCCCGCCCCCCCCCCTCACAATACCATATCTCTCTACAAAAATAGGTATAAATTCGGTTTTCCTATCCCCTTCGCAATACAAGAAGTCATGACAGCCATCAGTTTGCTATATTACCATGGATAATATTTATTGTGCTTTAAAATACAGGGTTTTAACATTTGAAAATCAAAATTTGCTCACTCGGTCTTGCTACACTCTCTCGCTTATTACTATAGTAGAGGCAGGGAGGTGACACCTCCCTGGTAGAGGCATGCAGTTTTATTAAGACCGTTCAAACAGGGAGGTGTCAGTTTAACTGACACATCCCTGCTTTCAAACCCTGTTCCCCTGAGGTGCCAAAAGCGAGGAGCAAATGTTTCCCTCTATAAGGTGGGTGGCTAAATCATTTTTGCCCCTTCACAAGCCCACATGTTTTCAGTATAAGGATTATTTATACAAATGGCTGTGAAAATGCAAATTTTCAAATTGCAATATTCTCTAATTTCTTGTTTGCAGTATTTTATTTTTCTCTAGGGACCCCCTCGCAAGACAAAAGAAAAATAAAATAAAATGACATGAAATGCTTTTCATGTCTGCTATGCTTTCTCTTGCATAGTTTCAACTTTTCAAACTCAAATTTTCTCGCTCGGTGGCTATGCCCCCTCACAAAATAAAGAATGGTGTTTTCTGTACTTTAAAATACCTCTATCACAAGGCTCTCGAATCGGGGAAGTTAGGGCACGTGATTCTCTTTACAAATCAAGAGACAATTATTTTTCCCGTCTCCCTAGCAAAACAAAACAATAGTAAGAAATCATACTGTTTCTGCAGTACAACTATGGACAAAGATCTCTAGTGCACGAGAATACTGTATAGAGTTTCTGGACAGAGGTTGAAAAAAAATCTAAAATCTAAATGTTCTCATTCGATCGCAACGCTCCCTCGCATTTTAATAGGAAAATGTATCTTGCCATCGTCCAAACTCGCGCGAAGTGGATTAGGGCGGGAAGACGCTTCCCTCGAATGAATGGGATGGGACAAAATCCATTTCACCGCCTTCTTATACAAGACAATAGCTTCATCTATTAAAGCTAGAACCTCTGTTGATTGTTTATCTGTAAATTTGAAGTAGGCTATGATCATGGTGATTTGCCTAGTGTTTAAAAGTACTCTTTATTACCATGATTTTTCAATTTCAAGGGGGGGGGGGGGGGCGATTTTATCACTCGCTTGGTAAAAGAATTACTCTATAGTTATTTGATATTTAGTACTCCGTTTTGTTATGATTATTTTATAAATATATCCAAAAAAAGGAGGCAAAGTGTGTGTGGGGGGGGGGGGGAGGGCAGAAAAAACTGAGGCGCCACGGACCTCGCGTGGTGGATTGTGAGCGGTCGGTAGTAATATACGTAGTTAGTAGTAGTCTGTATTAGTAGTAGTAGTGGTGGTAATAGTAGTAGTAGTAGTAGTAGTAGTAGTAGTAGTAGTAGAAGTAGTATTCGTAGTAGTATATAGTATTCGTAGTAGTATATAGTATTCGTAGTAGTAGTAGTGGTAGTAGTAGTAGTAGTAGTAGTAGTAGAAGTAGTAGTAGTAGTAGTAGTAGCAGTAGTAGTAGTAGTAGTAGTAGTAGTAATAGTAGTAGTAGTAGAAGTGGAAGTAGTAATAGTGGTAGAAGTAGTATAGTGGTACAAGTAGTAGTAATAGTAATAATAGTAGTAGTAGTAAAAGTAGTATTAGTGGATTGTGAGCGGTCGGTAGTAATATACGTAGTTAGTAGTGTTCTGTATTAGTAGTAGTAGTGGTAGTAGTAGTAGTAGTAGTAGTAGTAGTAGTAGTAGAAGTAGTATTAGTAGTAGTATATAGTAGTAGTAGTAGTGGTACTAGTAGAAGTAGTAGTAGTAGTAGTAGTAGTAGTAGTAGTAGTAGTAGTAGTAGAAGTAGTAGTAGTAGTAGTAGTAGTAGTAGTAGTAGTAATAGTAGTAGTAGAGTAGTAGTAGTAGTAGTAGTAGTAGTAGTAGTAGTAGTAGTAGTAGTAGTAGTAATAGTAGTAGTAGTAGAAGTGGAAGTAGTAATAGTGGTAGAAGTAGTATAGTGGTACAAGTAGTAGTAATAGTAATAATAGTAGTAGTAGTAAAAGTAGTATTAGTGGATTGTGAGCGGTCGGTAGTAATATACGTAGTTAGTAGTGTTCTGTATTAGTAGTAGTAGTGGTAGTAGTAGTAGTAGTAGTAGTAGTAGTAGTAGTAGTAGAAGTAGTATTAGTAGTAGTATATAGTAGTAGTAGTAGTGGTACTAGTAGAAGTAGTAGTAGTAGTAGTAGTAGTAGTAGTAGTAGTAGTAGTAGTAGAAGTAGTAGTAGTAGTAGTAGTAGTAGTAGTAGTAATAGTAGTAGTAGAAGTGAAAGTAGTAATAGTGGTAGTAGTAGCAGTATAGTGGTACATGTAGTAGTAGTAGTCGACATATAGTTATACATTAAGTATAGTAATAGTAGTTTATGTGGGAGAAGTAGCGTTAGTAGTAGCAGTAGCATAGACAGTAATTGAAGTAGCAGTAGAAGTACTGTCGTCAATGTTGTTGTTGTTGTTGTTATCATTTTCTCATCATCATTATTCCAGGACCTGCCTCCGTACAAGGAGATGGAAAACGGAAGTGTGGTGGTGCATCCCCCCGTCCGTGAGAGGGACCCGCTACATCGCGGAGATCCCATGGACGAACGCAACACCATTGACATGGATCTCTTCGAAGGGGACATGAGACTCACTGAAGAGCAAAGTCGCTTGTTACGAGAGGCCCACATTGATGGGAGCGGGGAACACAGGGACAGGAGCAAACGGAAAGCTGATCGATCCGCGTTCAGTGCATGGACTGATGCTATAGTCCCATATGTTATTACTTCCTCCTCAGGTACTTTTCCTCCTTGTTTTTCTGAACATTGAATCCCTTTTTCAAGTTTTGAAGAACGCTGGTTTTGAATGAATTTGTCCTTACTTGACAAAGGGTTAAGAATGTCACCCTTTATAGTTTCTTGATCGTACTTTTGTGTGTCAGAGAATACGGTACAAATACTTTCCTTTTTTTAAGAGATACTCCAAACTCGTTTTCAGTTTGGGAAACAGCTTGTCATTCATGAATTCAAATCATCCTGCTGGTTACAATGGTTAATTATATCGGCCAACGTCTTTTATAATGGTATCAATGTGCATTCCGCCTTTTGTTAACGTTAATGCTGATTGCTTGTTCAATTTCTTGGTTTGCATGGATTCTGCTAGAACCTGATAGTGCCCTGATCGAAGAGGTAATGGACTATTTGAGTGAGAGATCATGCATCCAGTTTGTTCCATGGAACTCCGAAGTTCATGGTGAAAGTCGGCTCTCTTTCATGAAGGGTTCAGGGTAAGTCTTGTCTCCAATACCAGATGCGCACGAGGCTTTAAATCTATCGCGCTACTTTACTTCACAAAGTCACTAATCAAACCCATTACAGGCAATATGTGTTTATTGTTTTTTATTTTATTTTTTTTTGGTCTCGAAATTTGAAAATTCGACATTTTTCTTCGTTGGGGGGGGGGGGGGGGGGGTAAGGTCACCTTTTTTAGGTCGGCCATGAGCATAATGTTTTTTTTTTTTTTTTTTAATAATTAAAAAAAACACAAAAAAAAACAAAGAGGGGGGGGGGGGGTTTAGGGGAGTTTTAGGGGGTTTACACACATAAAAATACCAAAGGGGGGGGGGGGTTTCAACCCCTAACCCCCCCCCCCCCCTGTGTACGCGCCTGGCGATGCCCTGTGGTACTTCGGTTGAGACAGGGACGTGATAGAGAAGGACTTGAATCAAGCCGTTCTCCTTTGACCCCATGCTCCAAGCCGCCGGAATGTTATGCGCTAATCTGCAACTGTTGACCAGGTGGTGAGATAAAAGAGCGCATGGAATTTTAGGATTTAGAATTCCTACATCAGAAAATGGTATCACAGCAACTGTTCGCTGTCCCTTCCAATGATTTATCATCCATTGTTGAATGTGTAAAGAGTAGAACAAGCGAACACAAACTTGTGTAATTTCATTCTTTTTTAAACTTGAAAAATACAAAAAAACACGCGAAAACACGCATTAGCAAACTTAATGTTATTGAAGATTGTAAATCATGGATCAAATAACGGGACATTAAAGCATGCACAAATTAGCGCATCATCCTAAAATATTGAGTTTTTGACAGGATGTATTTTTTCTTTTATCAACTCTGGCACACAATTTAAAGGCAGGACGGAGTTCTTAATTTGAAAATTTGTTTGATGCACTATTCCCAATAAAATTCCCATATAAAGTTTTTAATTTACACTGTAATTTTGCCGGTAATTTAATATTTTGTAATAAATGTAAAACTGGTGCCTGGCTTCCGAAATTCCCCGCAGTGGAAGCGCGGTTCAGAGCATGGAACTTCAAAGCCAAGTGGAATGTTACACATCCCATTGTTACGCTTTAGAACTCAAGAATGCGTTTGAATAAATTACAAGAGTTTCGCCTCCTTTTCTTTCACCTCCCTGGTTGAGAGAGCGATGGCATATGCCATATTACTAGCGCATGCACCGCATTTCTCGGCATAGACTTATTTACGTCGGCCTGACCATAATTTATATCTAACGCAATCAAAAAGGCGCCTCGTACCATAAAGGCTTACAGTATTATGAGCGCACAATATTTTTTTTTCCTCTTTTCCTCATACGAGGCACTTTATTACTTTATATCATTTTAACAACATTGCATATAGAGTTTAATAACAATTTATATATATATTCGCAATCAAGAAACTGATATAATAAAATAGGGGAAACATAAGGAAAGTGGAAGGGAAAGATCAAGGCATGAATATAAATACGTTAAAGGTTCAACTAAGAAAGATTCACCTTGATATTACTTATTAATTGTTCTTGGTTTCTGTATTGCCAACTGACATAAAACATAAAATCGCTTTTGAAAGTCATCTAAATTGAATGACTATTGAAGGATTTACTTCTAAGATGATTAAGTATATACACCTTATAAATTGCATATTGTGCGTAAACAATTAGTACGTTCATGAGCAGAAACTCCGGGTCTTCAATGTTGAAAACAATTAATATGATTTTTTTCTCCTAACTCAATATCTTTTTGGAACAAGTTCGTTACCAGATGATGATTTTTTTGCCAAAAGACTGCGACTTGGCGACATCTTAGCAAAATGTGTATAAACGATTATGATTCATTGCAATTATGTACAAAGCATATCGGATGTAATTTTCCACTTGTAAAGATTATCTTTGAAGGGTAAAACTTTATGAAGCAGTTTGAAATTAAATTGTCTTACTCTGTTGTCTTTGATCTTTTTAAATTTAAAATCTAAAACATGCCTCCACTCAAAATTGATTGGTAGTTGCAGTATTTCCTGCCAAAACAATGACACCGGAGGATTTTCTTTTTTGAACTCATTCAAAAGAATATAAAAGTGTTTTGCTTTCATGAGACTTAATTTGATCAAGTCGCAGTTCGAGATCTCAAACATTCCTTCAGAAACTTCTGTTGCAATTGGATTAAATTTGGTATTTCTTATTTGTTCTAACCATACTTTTGGAGAAGTTCTTTTTAGTTTCGAAAGTTTGAAGCTATCTAATAAAGAACTTGTACCCAAATGTTCGAAGAGAGTGTTGCTTGACACCCATTGACCGTTTACAAATACATCACTAACTTTACAGATTCCGTTTACATTCCATTTTTTTAAAAATAAAACATTTCGTTCATGTTTGATGTTACTGTTATACCACAGAATTTCATTACATATGTCTCTTACATTCAGGAAATGAACATATCTTAATTCGCACCAGTATGTCAGTAAGTTAGCATAGAATATTGGTAACTTATACATCGTACATAGCGAGAACATGTCTTTGCTTGAGCAGTTTACTTTCAAAATTAATGGTATGTCTTCAATAAAACTGATCCAATATCCGAAAAGTATTCTCCATTGCGACTTACCTCCTTTCATATATTTTGAAAACCAAGATAATTGCAATGATTGGAATTTGGTTTGGATATCTACCATGTTTAAACCCCACCCCTCTGCAGCACGAGTAACAACCGCTCTTTTTACTTTTTCCCTTTTTGATCCCCAAAGAAAGCTATAAATTAATTTGTTTAGGTTGACAACAAACTTTTGTGGAATTGGTAAACATGTCGCAATATATACAAATTGGGAAGCAATAAGCGTTTTTATAATTGTTATTTTCCCATAGTATGTCAGGTTTCTCATTTTCCAAACTCTCAGCAACGAATTTACTTTCTCCAGTTTCAAGTTCCAATTTAAACTTTCCGATTCTTTTTTTCCTTGAGTTATGTACACACCTAAGTATTAAATGGGCTCATTATTCCATTCTAAATTATTTAAGCATTCTTCTCGAAAAGAAGTTGACATGACATTGGTTTTCATTAAATTCAGTTTTGGCCCTGCTAAGACCCCAAATGTTTTCACCTCTTTTATGGCAGTGTTTCCATCTTCTATAGCGTTAACAAAAATTACCGCGTCATCTGCTAATTGAGATATTTTGATATTCTATTCAACGACAGGTGGATTTTTCAAAGAAATACTAATAACTTTTATGTTGGTATTTTGCTTTATTCTCACAGCCATAACTTCGGCAACCAGTATAAAGAGAAGAGCCGATAGGGGACAACCTTGTCTTACACCTTGATCTATTCTGAAATCCTTAGAGACCCAGCCGTTGTTAATAACTCTGCATATTGCATTACTGTAGAGTGTTTTGACCCAATGTGTAAACGTTTCTTTGAACTTAAATCTATCTAATAACAAAAATAGGAAATCATGACAAATGTTGTCTGACCATAATTTATATCTAACGCAATCAAAAAGGCGCCTTGTACCCTAAGGGCTTACAGTATTATGAGCGCACAATATAGTTTGATTGAAAATTTTACCTTTCTTGTCATGTAATCCTTCAAACATGTTGAACTTTTTTTAGCTATGTTAACTTTACTAAGTAGCAGACGTGGTGTTACTAAATGTAATAAGATCCCTTGCAGGTAATTTGCTCAATGAAAATAAAATTGTCTAAAATATATATATAACGAAATAGACTCAAAACACTACAATTAAAAAAACCTCCATTGACACTTGAATAGGTCTGGTGAACCAATATAAGGACTCGCTCACTGGGTCGTCTGCGCGTTCGAATTTGACACAATTTTGTCAATGAACAGTGAGCATGCGCAGTAGTCCCTTGGAAGCAAATATTAAATAGAGCATGCGCAGTTCTGCCCAGGGCAAACTAATGAGAGCTATTCGGAGCTCCGGGCAGAGATTTGTTTTAACAGCTGCCTGTTCCTAGTGAAATCATACATGTATGTTATCAAATGAGCACTAATTGACCAATCATGTATTTAGAATACTCATGAATATTTATAGAAAGGATATATATATATATATATATATATATATATTTATTATGATTTTTATTATGATCTACGACATGATCAGTAAAAGATATCTTACATTTTTGTTTCTTCCATTCTCTGTTTTCCATTCCCATCTTGCCTTTTCCATCTTCTTTTTTTTCTTCTTCTTCTTTTTTCCCCCTTCTTCTATTTCTTATATTCGTTATTAGGTGTTGGTCCTACATTGGGCGACATCCGGGTGGGGTCAATGAAATTTCCATTGGACAAGGCTGTGCTTCTGTAAGTATGCAGTCATGGCAGTGTCCGCCACAAACAATTGAAACCCAGATTAAACCCTAACGCCCCAAAGGTGGGAATTAAAAGTGTTAGCTCTCACCGCGAGAAAATGTGAGATTTTATTTAATGTTGAATGACATGATTTATGATAAAACACATAAAATGGTGTTTAATATTGTTAAGAACCATTTCCAACATGAAAGAAGACTAAGAAGAAGAAGAGGAAGAAGAAGAAGAAGAAGAAGAAGAAGAAGAAGAAGAAGAAGAAGAAGAAGGAAAAAAGAAGAGGACGAACAAGAAGAGGAGGAGGAAGACGAAGAAGTTGAATTATAAGAATGAGAAGAAGAAGAAAAAGATGACGAAGAAGAAGAGGAGGAAGAGGAGGTTGATGATGAAGAAGAAGAAAAAGAAGAAGAAGAAAAAGAAAAAAAATATCAAACATACAAAAAAGAAAACCAAACTCACAACAGGTTCAAGAGAGAAAGGGTTCGCAAATTTACAGGTTTGCTGACGGAAAGGTTGAATGCGATGAGTTACACTCCGATAGCTAGACACCTCCTGGTTCTCATGATATTTCGGGAGTGATGTGACATGCTAAAGACAACGTTCAAAGCATACACCCATTATAATAACACCCAACTAGCAATGCAATCAGTCTTTTTCTTTTCTCATCTAACTTGACAGTTTGGCGTAATCTTCCACGAGATAAGCCACGCCCTCTCCTTCTTCCATGAGCAGTCCCGCCCGGATCGAGATGATTACGTGACTATTCTTTGGGACAATATCATAGTTGAATATCAACGCAACTTTAATAAGTATGCTGAGAGTGTGATTAATACCTATGGAATACCCTACGATACAACGTCTGTCATGCATTACAGCAGTACAGTAAGCATTCTGTTTCTTTTTGGTCCTTTCCCTTTTTCCGTTTCTAATTATTCCTTTCCCACAACGCCTTCTCCTTATTCATGTATATAATCCAATTTTCAATGATTTTTATGTTTTTCTTGCGATCATTATCTGTACTGAATTGGTTGATTATATTTATCCTCTGAGCAATGTAGGGGCACGGCGGCAAATTAAAGCAACATCATTTATACCCGATATTATGCCCATACATTTGAAATAAATTGTCTTTACCGTTTTTCATGAAGTGATTGTGAGAATGAATATGATTTATTCTTGATAGATGAAATTTATATCTTTATTGGTTGATCTAAAGAGTATAGATATTGATATTATTCTCATTTCGCCCTCAGGCTTTTTCTACAGATAGTGCTTCAGTTAATCGAGCACCAACTATCATTACCATAGACCCACTGGAAATGCCATACTTGGGAAATCGTGTCGCCCCATCGTTCGGGGATCTCAAACTACACAATCTTGTCTACGGTTGCCCAGCGGCGGCTCAAGCTTCTTGTGGTATTGACGACTCCTCGTTGTGTATGAACGACGGCTACCTTTTGTACAACTGCACATGTGTATGTCCACCTCAATATACGGGAAATCGATGCGAATTGAACAATCCCGAATTTGTTCCACGTAAGTCGATCCTGCTAGAAGGGGCGGATTTGTGCAGTATGTTGTTGTGGAATGGGGGACGGCAAAACGCCTAAAGAGAGAGAGAGAGAGAGAGAGAGAGGGGGGGGGGGGGAGCAGGGGAGCCGGGGGGGGGGGGGAGAGAAGGGGTGGGGGTGGGAAGGGGGGAACACTTTTGATATTTTATGTGTTGAAATCTTTTTTATTAAATGAGAAAAGAGAGAGGGGACAGAACAAATCGAGATAACAAAGGAAAGAAAGAATAATGTACGATCGAGACATGAGAGAATTATTGTTAGAGGGATGAGAGAGAGACAGAGAGACAGAGAGAGAGAAAGAGAGAAAGAGAAAGATAGGGAGACTGAAAGGGAGCTCAATTTAAAAATATGAAGAATTATATCGGCGGAACTGAAGCGAAGTGCAATCAAAGATCGTTTTTATGTCTATTCCCCACCCCCCCCCCCAGGTTGCATTATCGAAAGAACCGCAGACGACGGAGAGACGGGTACTATCTCCTCACCGAACTACCCTTCAAACTATGGTCCAAATGAACTGTGTCAGTACCTCATCACGGTACGTTTATTTCATCGCCAACATGTATAGTAGGCCTTTGCTGAAAGAAAGAGAGAGAGAGAGAGAGAGAGGGGGGGGGGGAAGAGAAAGAGAGAAGAAAAAAAGAACCGTGCCTCCAAATTTAGTGTCATAACTAGACGTGGTGGAGAGTGGCAAATGTGGATTGATGTATTAATGTCTTTCCAAATGACGTTATTGCTAGGCTGGCATTCGAACCCTCAACCCTTAGATTGAGAGTAAAATGGAATAAACTAATGACCGCGACACCTCTCCATGTATTATTTAGCCCCCTTAAGTTAGCCCCTTATTCAGAGGGTCCCCTTATTTAAAAAGATGTCCACTGCATGTTTCATGAAGGACTCGACCCGCGATACGCCACGGATTTGCGGAATATACACTGTCGCTCATAAAGGTGGAATATTTTAGTTTTACCCCAATTTATGGAATTATTTTAAAAATTATTTAAAAATAATAGATCTAGATAATAGTTTACATTCTCAGATTTTATTGAATAATAGTTTGCTAATGTGTGTTTTGCGGGACTGCTAAAGCATGTGTATGCTACTATGCTTATTAACTAGGGGACTTACGCCCTCAAATCATAAATGACAGTAATGAGGATTAATGCCCCACAGAAGGGCACTAATATAGCACATCGACACGGTTTTGATCCTGGGGCCTCACAGTTACGAGGCCATTGTTTTGTCACTGAACCATGACTGTACGCAGCGGGGACTAGGGTAGGGGGCAGTTTCCATAGATTTAAAAAAAAAAACAGAAAATGCAATAAATTTTCAATAATTTATTGTATTTTACCCCGGTCCGCAAATTCCGCAAATCCGTGGCGTATCGCGGGTCGAGGCCCTGGAACTATGGCGAGATTTCGCTCTGAAATTGACAAATCATGGGAAAGTTTTACAATACTTGCTATAATAAGCCTCATATATTTTTGGAGCTTTGATTGAATTAGCCTGACATGGGGAAAAGCCTTAGATTCTTAATTTAGTTCAAACATAATAATAATAACAACAATAACAACAATACTATTACATGTACATGTACTACTACTACTTCTACTACTACTACTACTAATAATAATGGTAACAATGATATTGATGACAATAATGTGATAAAATGATGTGTTACAGTTAAACGCATACTTATTTCAATGTGCTTTAATATGATCATGTCACATTTGACTTACCATGGTGTTATTAATGTTGTTGTCGTGACAGGGCCCAGTTGGATCGACAATCAGTTTGACTTTCACAATATTCGAGCTGCAGGCCAAAGCTAGAACATCAGCAGGTGATTTTATTTGTTACTGGGATTACACCGTTGTTTATGATACACCTTTGACACATGATGGCACGAGCATATGTGGTTCGGATAACATGTTACCACTGAGCTTCAATTCTGCTGGTAATCAGATGAGAGTATTGTTTGCATCATCCGGACTAAACCATTATAAAGGATTCACGGCAAATTATATCATTAACATTCCGTCCACACCCACGCAACCCATCACTACGACACAACCAACTACAACAACGCAACCAACCACAACCATGCAACCCACCACAACCATGCAACCCACCACAACCATGCAACCCACCACAACCACCCAACCCACCACAACCATGCAACCCACCACTACAACACAACCAACTACAACTAGGCAACCCACCACAACCGCGCAGCCCACCACAACAATGCAACCAACCACAACCATGCAACCCACCACAACCATGCAACCCACCACAACCATGCAACCCACCACAACCATGCAGCCCACCACTACAACACAACCAACTACAACTATGCAGCCCACCACAACCACCCAACCCACCACAACCATGCAGCCCACCACTACAACACAACCAACCACAACTAGGCAACCCACCACAACCGCGCAGCCCACCACAACAATGCAACCCACCACTACAACACAACCAACCACAACTACCCAACCAACCACGCGACCCACCACTACAACACAGCCAACTACAACTATGCAACCCACCACAACCGCGCAGCCCACCACAACCATGCCACCCACCACTACAACGCAACCAACCACAACTACCCAACCAACCACGCGACCCACCACTACAACACAACCAACTACAACTACGCAACCACCAACGACCACGCAACCGACAACTACCGAAGTCGTTGGGACCTGCGGAGGAGACTTTGCCAATGCAGCCGGCCGGTTTGCTTCACCAAACTATCCGAGCGCCTATCCCAATAATCAGTTGTGTACATACCAGATAACCGTGGCAGCGGGACAGCGTGTGGCGCTAACTTTGGAAGCATTTGATTTGGAATATTACTGTTTCGACTGGTTAGAAATAAACCTAGGAGATGAGAGTCACACGCCTATCGAGTAAGTTTCGATATTTTTTATCATTGAAAGACAAAGATGATACACTATAATGATAGGCTACTATATACATTTCCAGAAGAAGAAAAAACAAATGAAATCCCAAATAACGATTATTATGCGGATATTATGAGCTGTATGAAAATATTTAATCGCTTTTATTAGTTATTCGCTTTAAACTATAATTATAATTTCATTAATCCATGCACGCTTCACCGAGCAGTATTGTTTTGAAAATTTCAGAATCCGTTTGTGACAGATTTTGACGGTAAAACAGTGAAAACATTAGTATCACTTGCAAACATGGGAAATTTAAGCATCAATAAATGGTTATTCAAGACAGTATTCAATTGCGTGACGATGCGTATTTTTAATTAAGCAGTTACACACAAAAATAGATGCGAATACCAATTTCTGGGATAACAGGGGTATACACCGTCAGCTTTTCCCCCAAATCATTAATTAACCATCGAGCAATGAAAGAGGGCAATTTTTGTAATTGAAGTGCCAAAAGGTTACCCATCCTTGAAGGGAAAACGATATTCTGATGGTTTAATTTGTGCCTTATGTGCCCATGCCTTTCCCTCTTTATCACAATGTACAGTGCCCCTAACTTTGATTCTTGTGGGAAAATATCATCTTTCTACAGTTAACCTTACCCCAAGAACTTCTCTGATCTTTCTGCTTTCTTTTAGAGCATTTGTCTATTCAGGTTGGATATTTCTTTAACAGAGCAGTGGTATTCATAGGTGAAACAAAGGCATATCTTAAAGTCACTGTACATCTATTATTATTATTATTATTATAATACATGCATTTTCTATCAAATGACAGAATCTGCGGCCAAGATGTCCCACAAGGAGAAATCGTCTCGGTGGCCAACACTATGACCATTGTCTTCGAGTCCGATTACTCCATCACCCTAGGCGGGTTCGTCGCCAGCTACCGCACTGTCGACGTCGTTCCTGACCTGGAGTCCGTTGCTGTTGTCGAAGGCTCGCAACGAAGCGCGTGCGAAGATACGACAAACCAAGACGAAGGCTTCATCCAATCGCCAAACTACCCTGGAAACTATCCCAAGCGGACCACGTGCTCCTATGATATCACTGCGCCAGAAGGCTCTCACGTGCAGCTCGACTTCGAACCCGCGTTTGAGATCAGATATAAGACGGATTGTAGGAAGGATTTCCTTATGATCGACCTCGGAAATGGAATCACTGAAAATCTGAAGTAAGTCAAGCATGGGCTCACAGTGAAAGCCTCTGCACGCCTATACGCTCATCGTGGTGCTTCTATATGTATACCTACTCAAAATTAATATTAGAAGATCTTTTTATTCCGTCTTAAAATAAATCATTGTCTTGCTCATTTCGTCATGTCACGTATGAACTGTGTCACACCTGTAAATCAGCATCTGATAGCCGTGTTGATTTGAGGTTGAAGAATGAATGAATATGATAATAAAGATAAAATAATATAATGTATGAAGATTACTGAAGTAAGAAAGGAGTAGGAGACGAAGAAGAAGAAGAAGAAGAAGAAGAAGAAGAAGAAGAAGAAGAAGAAGAAGAAGAAGAAGAAGAAGAAGAAGAAGAAGAAGAAGAAGAAGAAGAAGAAGAAGAAGAAGAAGAAGAAGAAGAAGAAGAAGAAGAAGAAGAAGAAGAAGAAGAAGAAGAAGAAGAAGAAGAAGAAGAAGAAGAAGAAGAAGAAGAAGAAGAAGAAGAAGAAGAAGAAGAAGAAGAAGAAGAAGAAAAAAAGTTACAGGGTGAAGACCATGCAGTTATGAAAAATATGGTCATAGCCCTGTCATCAATTTTCAAAATGTGCTCGGCCACATATACTTTTAACAAATATTTTTAATGGAACTATTACTAAAGCAAAACATTGCCCCCTCCCCCCCTCTCTCTCTCCCTCTCTCTGTCTCCCTCTCTTTCCCTTTCATTCAACCAGGATTTGCGGTGATGAGGAGCCGATTGGTTCCTACATATCCCTGGGCAATGAGATGAGGCTACGATTCAAGTCGCGTGGGGGCAGAGGGCGACAAGGATTCAGGGCTAAGTTTAACACCGTGAACATCGCCTAAGGACAAGGTCAAGGACAGGCTCAAGGTCAATTACAAGGGCGGACTCAAGGTCAATGACAAGGACATGGGCAAGGTCAGGGACGATTTACAGGGAAAGGCATTGGCTGTGGTTGACTGGGTCTTCGAATTTAAGAATGATAAACAAAAGATGAGTCCATTTTCCAACGAAGGATCTAAGCTAAAGTTTGAATTTTTAATTGTTAAAATATTTTACTAGTAAATTTCATTCATAATTATACATGAACATTTTGTTTCACAATACATAAATAAAACAATTATATAAGAAAAAGTGGTATAGTTTCGCGAGTAATCACAAATTTACAATAAACAATGGAGATTGTTTAGGCAGTGGAAAATGATATTATAACAAAATAATTATATGACACGTACCAGCCTATGTTTTACAATAAAGATACATAACAAATGGGAATTATAATTTCGTTATTGATATTGAGTTTGTTATCTGCAGCTTGGTCTAAATAAAAGTCTACTCAAGTATATCAAGTCTATTGAAATCATTTGTTGATGTTTCTTTCTCTCCCTCATTTTGTCAACTCACTATCTCTCTCTCTTTCACTCTTCCATCGCTCTCTCCTTCTCTTTCTCTCTCTCTCTCTCTCTCTCTCTCTCTCTCCTTTCTCTCTCTCTCTCTCTCTCTCTCTCTCTTCTCTTCCCCTCCCTCTCTCTTTCTCTCTACCTCTCTACCTCTATTACTCGCTATCCATCTTTCTCTTCTCTCTCCTTCAGTGTTGCATAATATCATCCCTAGGATTATTCATCTTCTAAGGTACTGACTTGAACTATGTTATGCTTTCAAATTGTTAAGGTTAATGTCTATTTTTGTAAATGAAATGCAATTTTAATGCTTTTTTATTGTGAATCGATATGCAATTCAGTTTTCGGGCTGCTATGTATCGTTTTTAATATACCATTTTCAATTGAATTCAATTCAATTCCATTTAAAGTTAGACAATGTTAGAAACAGTATCTCATTATTATATTGTCGCTTTATTCATCGATTGGTATTGAGCTTTTAGCCCAGCTGCATCAGCTTTCACTAATTTAGTTGAATACGGACACACATGGTCCCATTTCCACACCAGAGAAATTTACTGTTGGATAGACATTTTAAATGTTAATAGTATTTCATGGAATCAGTGATGATTAGGTAGTGTACACGACTTAACTTACTATGTAACATGAAGCGAGCCAGTGCTACCAGACGGTCATGGGTCATTAGCATCCATTAAATCTACAACAATTATATTTACATGGTTGTATTTGTGAATAGGTGAAGAGCAAGCAGTGGTTAAAAGTCAATATGATTATGCATAATAACTCTATTATTAATAATGACAGAAACGTACAAATAGTATTGGCTACAAGGTTTTTACTTTAGACAAATGAGGTTCGCTCATAGATTGCTTTTTGTGTGAGGTATTGTAATAATGTGAAAAATAGTAGTTTTAATATTTTCATACTTATCATATTCTATTTAAATTCAGAACAAGCAATGAATATCATTATTAGGTATACTTAATCAGGTTAATACTATATGCATCATCATTATATTCTCATTTTCAAGCTGGTATTGATTAAAATGTAGATTTATCATAAAGAATTTGCCTCCAAAATCTCTTTTGTTAATGTTATACGGAGATGGTCGGCGAAAGGATATGTCTACCCCCCCTCTCTCTCTCTCTCTTCCCCTTTGTCTGTCTTTCTTTCTGTCTGTCTGTCTATCTATCTATCTTTTTTTTAATGTACTCGGTTTAAAAACATCAACACGTAAAGTGTATTAACTCATAATGGTTGATTTACAATGAAATTGAATAGTGTAACAAAAATTGAACCAAAATAAGTTTTTTTTTACGCACATGAAAACATGGTTACAATACAATATTCAACGGCTGACTACATGTCCCAAGACTAAATGACGTGGAAATCGAGAAGGAGATAAATGACGAGGGAGAGAGCGTGGCGAGAGAGAAAGAGAGGGACGGAAAAGGGGAGGGTAGACGGAAAGAGAGAGGGAAAGAGATCGGACGGGCTACAGAGAGGGAATGGGAGATACAGAGGGGAAATGGGGGAGAGAGAAGGAAGAGAGAGGAAGTGAGGCAGAGAGAGGAAGTCTGTCTGTCTGTCTGTCAAATATCTGTCTCTCCCTCTCTGCCTCTCCGCCATTCTCTGTCTATCTACTATTTGTCTATGTCTGTCTCTGTCTGTCTGTCTCTATTTATTTATATATCTATCTATCTATCCCTGCTCTTTGCACCTGTTCTCCCTCTCTCTCTCTCCCTCTCTCTCTCTCTCTCTCTCTCTGTTTCTCTCTATAATGCGATGGTGAGTTTACTCTTACTAGTCATTTTTGTTTGCGAAGTAGATACTGTATAGTATACAAATATACACTGCCTTGAGAGGTTCTGGTTAAAACTATGCGCAAGAGGTGACTCCAATAGTACTATTTGCTGAGGGGCGCAGCCCCGAAGCAAATGGTACTTTTGGAGTCACCGAGGCCCATAGGTTAACCATTACCTCGAATAGAAGGCATGGTATATTTGTTTTATATCCTGCATCAAAAATTTATTTAAAAAAAAAAAAAAAAAAAAAAAACATTTTTGGGAAAAAAAAAATTTTGGAACAAAAAAAATGTTAATTTTTATCTAAAAAGATTTAAAATATTTTGTTTTCATTAAATTTAGATTTGAAAAAAAAAATTGATTCAATTCAAAAAAAAAAATTTACATTTTTTTTTCAACTCCCAAATAGTAAACCAAAATAGTACTCTCATATAGTACTTTCTAAAAATAGCTCAAATATTTTTGGTCATGTGACGAGCTCTCAACCAATCAAAAGCCAACAAATTTTTGATGCAGGATATAATATAAAATAATGATGGAAGCAAAGGAAGAATCAAAAAATTTATCGCAGATTTAACTTGCGTCATCCTCTGCTTGCATCATATTGTTTCGCACTATTATGTATGTATCTATCTATCATACGGGTTCTAGGACACCTACCCCCTAGACATCCACCCCCGGTTAACTACCCCCAGTCAACTACCCCTAGGACAACTACCCCCTAGGGCAACCACCCTCTATAAGACGACTACCCCGGGACAACTACCCCCGGCCAGCTACCCCCTAGTAAAAACTACCCCGGACAACTATTGTATGGAGGTAGTTGTCCGCGGTAGCTGTCTGGGGGTAGTTGTCCGGTGGTAGTTGTCCTAGGGGGTAGTTGTCCTAGGGGATAGTTATCTGGGGGTAGTTGTCCCAGGGGGTAGTCGTCCCAGAGGGTGATTGCCCTATAGGGGGTAGTTGTCCTAGGGGGTATTTGACTGGGGGTGGTTATCCGGGGTGGAGGTCCAGGGGTCAGGTGTCCGGATACAATTATAAATATATATATATATATAGAGAGAGAGAGAGAGAGAGAGAGAGAGAGAGAGAGATATCTTTGTAAAGAAGATAATTGTTCTGTAACGAAGGAGATTTAAAAAGAGACTCGACACAAAATAAAAAAACTCCTCATTTCGTTTTTTATATTGTGATGTGTATCTACCTATCTGTCCATTTATCTTTCTCTGTCTCTGTCTGTCTATCTGCCCCCTTCTCTCTCTCTCTCTCTCCCCCCCTCTCTCTTGTCTGTCTCTCGCACTCTACGATCGAGAGTGCAACCGGAATTGCATGTGTATTGAGGAACAAGAGTCTAATTATAAGCACTGCAAATCTGCGATTATATATGAATACGTATACATGGTTGAGTGGGTAACTCAAGTTTGAAATGGGTAGGCTAATTATCCTTTTGTATTTACCCTCAATGGAAATATACTTCAAGCGGTGATTATCAAGATGCCGATAATGTTTACTGGCCAGGATGCTGATGAGCATAATTCATGACAGGGTGCCCTTCCCCTTATTTATATAATGTTACGGTCAGATGAGCATCCAGGGGCCCGCATTATAGGACCCTTGGTGGGATCCAGGGGGCGGAGCCCCAAAAGCCCGGCACCCCAACTCAGTGTTATTTAGGGTACGCATAATGCTCGTTCCCTCTTTTTGAAAGCAACCCCTATCTGAGAACTGCCAACATTTCCGAACCCCCTTTCGCGGGCTTTTTGCGGGCTTTTCCTGCCTTGGAGACCCCCTAAATCATGAAAAATGCTCAATGTACCCCCTTAATTCGGAATAATTTCTCAGGAGTCCAAAGAGACGAAAGAAAAAAGAAAAAAACACCCCCTTTTAAAGAAATCTCCAGGTGAAAAGTTAATACACCCCCTTTTTTTTTACAATTCTCGGGCCGGACTTTGTCGCACGAAAAGTACTCCTTTACCGGACATATTGGTAACACGCATGGGGTCATTCCGACCCCGGAGTGGGGGGGGGGGGGGGGGGGGGGGGGGGGGAGGGGGGCGGGAACAAAAAAAACCTTTTTTATTACGGTGAGATAAGCATATTTTGATACCTCATTTGTGACAATGGCAGGTCGATCACTCATTCTTTCTTTCTCTCTTTCTTTTTTCTCTTTAAAGATACTATGTCCCTTTTACAGCCAATATCAAATTCTGCAGAACTTTGCAATGGTACAATGGTCTGAAAATCAGAATATTACTTACTGACTTGGTAGTCGTTATTTTCCCACTTAAAGACATTTTGAAGCCCCCCCCCTTTTTTTTTTTAGGGAAGTTCTAGATTAGTATTATCTTTCAAAAGCCGTTGGAATTTAACCTTTTCATGTTTTGGCCTAAAAATATTTAACATAAGCTCGCCATTCTTCATGCGCTGATATGAAGGCTTCTAAATAAGCATTTGTGTTGCCAAGCTCCCCCCCCCCTCATTACGCCACTGCTGATCACCGTACCATGCGCATAATTCAACATTTGCCCCCCCCCCCCGGCCGCCCCTAAGAAATCCTGGATCCGCGCCTGATACATGTATAAACATACAATAAATTGGGTTATTTTCGGGCGCTGCTAGCGCTAGCTGCTTGTAATGGCCAATAAATATGTTATTGAAAGACCAAATACACTGTAAACCGATTAGCTTTTTAAATCCAATAATGTACAAACACGATGGGGGGGGGGGGGGGGGGGGGGGGGGGGGGGGGTAAGCGGACACTTTTTTTTTTTTTTTTGGTCTCAAAATTTCAAAATTTGACATTTTTTTACGTATGGGGGGGGTTAGGTCACCTTATTTAGGTTAGCCGTGGGTATATTTTTTTTTTTTTTTTTTTTTTTTTTAAATAAAAAAAAAAAAAAAAAAAGAAAAGCCAAAGGGGGGGGGGGGGGGGGGTTTTTAGGTTTTTTTAGGGGGGTTTACATACATGAAAATACCAAAGGGGGGGGTTTGAACCCCCAAAACACCCCCCCCCCCTGCGTACGCCCTGGCCAGATTTGGTTTTAAAAAAAATTACATCCTGACAAAAACTCAATATTTTAGGATGATGCGCTAATTTGTGCATGTTTTAATGTCCCGTTATTTAATCGATGATTTACAATCTTCAATAACATTAAGTTTGCTGCGTGTTTTCGCGTGTTTTTTTTGTATTTTTGAAGTTAAAAAAAGGATGAAATTACACAAGTTTGTGTTTGCTTGTTCTATACTCTTTACACATTCAACAATGGATGAGAAATCATTGAAAGGGACAGCGAACAGTTGCTGTGATATAATTTTCTGATGTAGGAATTAAATCCTGAAATTTCATGTGCTCTTTTATCTCACCACCTGGTCAATAGTTGCAGATTAGTGCAAAACTTTTCGGCGGCTTGGAGCATGGGGTCAAAGGAGAGCGGTTTGATTCCAGTGCTCTATCACGTACGTCCCTGTCGAAAAATAATGCTTCGTTTTCATTTATTTAAGTATGTGCTAAAAACATTATGAGTTCAATATTAACTCTATGTTTCTCTTCTTTTTTTTTTGGAGGAGGGGGGGGGGGGGGGGGTCTTGTATCAAATTATTAAATTGATATCAAGAATATTTTCAGTAATTCTTCATTCAAATATCGATTTACTGGTGCCAGTAATTTTCTTTTTCTTGAAATTGCTTCCATGAATTCGTCATTAAATAATTATATTATCGTTTTGTTTTTAATTATTATAATTATTATTATCAATATTGTTATTATTATTATTATCATTTATTTTACTTACTATTGTCGATAGTGTTCCTTTGTATTGATTACTTAAACTCGATTTGTATGGTATATTTTAAACTGATTGTAAACTTCTCCGAGTAACCCAATGTGGGTGACATGAGAATAAGTTGTCATTGTCACTGTCATTGACTCGCAAATTAAGTGCAAATCTAGCTTTGTTTACTTTGTTTACTTAGAATAAATGACAATGCGAGAAAATCATGGCCATAGGACTCAATTAAAGGTACTATGTCCCATTTGCAGGCCCCAAAAAATGAAAAAGTTAAATTCCAACTGCATTTGAAAGATAATACTAATTTAGAACTTCCCTAAAAAAGGTGGGGCTTGAAAATGTCTTCAAGTGGGAAAATAACGACTATTAGTTGCCAAATCGACTTTAGGGCAATAGAGCCCAAAAGTAATAGTCTTGATTTTCAGACAATTGTACCGAATGGTCATACGTTTTATGCTGCGCAAAGATTCAATCAGTTTAATCTTGGCCATCACAAGAAGTGGGTTATTGATGTAGACAAATGCTCATGTATACCCTTTACAACTCTTTTCATGTATGTTATTACCAAAGAAGAAAACTAAGGCCAGTCAGTCACTCAATAGTGTCTGACAGTGAAGTCTAGCAAGCAAACGGGTTTCCTTGCATACTTTGAATATGAGGACACTGCTAACGTTTAAATTTTACAGATAGGACATACATAACATATTCATAATTCCTGCAAAGTTCTACAGAATTTGAGGTTGGCTGCAAAAGGGACATAGTACCTTTAAGACGCGACGTGACGTAACTGATACGTGTTATTATCAAGTCTGTGCTATAGCCTGAGGGCGGCATTTACATACATTTGAGATGGATTCGATCGAGCTGGATAGTTACCCCCTGCTCCAAGAGTAAGTACCAACTGAACATGTCATTATTCATGTTTGTGTTAGTGAAAGAAATATTATCCCCTTATTTCTACAAAAGTACAATAGATCTACACAGTCTGCTACAGGCTTTACTGTACACTAGCTACAGTACAGACTAGGCCTAGGCAACTTCTACAATACAGCCCAATGTATTAAGTTTCGTGTAAGCTCTGACTCTCCTTATTAAGAGGGGTGAACAAAAGGATAAAAATAACATGGACGTCTATGGGGTACCGGTAGACCTATATCTAAATAGGCGTAGCCGGGATCGAGTACATTTGCATTATGAAGCAAGCAGTCTTATCCACAAGTTGGCTAGATCGATCTAGACGGTAAAGCGTCTGCCTGTCGAACCAAAGATCCCGGGTTCGACTCCCACAGCCGGCGCTAGCCTAGTGTAGTTCCGTATCCATTTTTTTAGCAGTTTCATATCCATTCTTAGCAAAGGAATTTTAGCCCAATTTTTTACTAATTTTAATCATAATCATTTCTTGCATTTTCCACCTGAATTTGGATCACATCCGACATCGGGAATCCTCCGTTTAGGGCGTCGATGTCGACGTCGTCGCTCAGTACCGTCTCCGTGCTATAGCTTTGCAACTCAAACTGAAGCTATCGGTCTAAAATTATGCAAGCTTCTCGTATAGTTTATGGTATCGTGCATGTGCGTAATATACCATAAAGCATACGCTAAAAATATTTTAGTTTAAGGCTACAAATGGCTCTTTGTAATGTTCAAGAATAACTTAGAGTTTAGTAAGACTTAGAATCTTTGTTAACACCCCCCAGCAACCTTTCAGACATATCAGTATTCTTATATGATGTCCTGTATTATAATACTTACAAGGTTGGCTTCCTTATTGATGTATTCTTTGTTGCTGAGTTGGTTGCCCTTATCTTCATAAAAGCCATGTTTCTTTTTATAAATTTTTAGTGATTCTTCTGTGTGTAGTAATGACGAGATGCTGGTATACAAGCGGCCAATTAGAAAAGGGAAAGAGTCTACACGGTACAAGCGATTGGCAGAAGATGAAGGAGAAAAGATAGCAATACCTCGACACTTGGGATTAGCAGGATGTATTTGGTACATCGTAAGTATGTCCAACTTTTTTGTTCCCCTTCCTTAAACTTATCGTACACATGCGCCTCTCAGATGTTTAGATATGCTGCCCTAAAACTTTACGTGTAAGACTGCATGCAACAAAGGTTCTATGCATAAACAGTGAACTTTAACCTCTTGATTATAAGACACAGAAATGCCAAGTTTTACACTCGCGTCATCATAAAAAAGATTTTTTAAATGTGACGGTTTACTGTGTCGTATGTGAACGCAGCTTTTTATAACAGCATCCTTTTGAAAATATTATGCATTTAAAAAGCAAGATACTTATAAATGCCATTTATGATAATTTTTAGATATAGCAGTTTAATCACTTTGAATTTGTAATTGAACATAGATTTGCATGATTTTTACCAAATGGTAAACCAAGAAATGTAATACTGTTGCCTTTTGATTCGTACACTGTACATGTAGGTACCCCCAAACCTTTATATACCATTTGTCTCAGAAAACAGCAAGTATGGTTACTGTATACATATTCGTGTACCATAAAAAGCTATACATTTGACAAATTTATAAATCGTTGATCACAGTCATCACAAATAAAATTGTAGTTACATGTATACCCTTAAGATGTTTGTACAGTGTACTCATTCTGTGATTGTGAATTATCATTTTGTTCTTATATTTTCAAACGGAGTCTTGCTAAGAGTCTGCAAACTCGAATTGATTTAATTTGTATTTAATAAACATCAACCAAATATTGAAAGAAACAATAGGCTAGTCTTGGAAACAGTTTTCCCCAAGACCTTTTCAAAGATGAGGGTTTCTATACAGATATCCCCATTTATTGTATTACATGCTCATTTAAAAGTCATGTGCACATTAATTTGTAGTTTTTCAGAATTCCCAAAGAGTAAGGTATGAAATGCGTATCTTAAAGCATGAATATTGTTTAAATATAAATGTGTAATAAGAAAACTGGTCTGAATTCCTTCAGATTGGCCAAGTGATCGGTACAGGGATCTTCATCTCACCGGCTGGTGTGCTTCGGGGCACCGGTGGTTCCGTAGGCTGGGCCCTCATCCTCTGGATCCTGTGTGCCATCATCCAGTTCTGTGGAGCACTGGTCTATGCAGAGCTCTCCCTCATCATGCGCAAGTCCGGCGGGGACTTCACCTTCTTGCTTCAGGCGTGGGGTTCCATGATGGGCTTCTCTAGGCTTTGGGTGACCACGTTCGTCAATCCCTGCTCCATCGCAATCCAGTCACTCGTCATTGCCAAGTATCTCCTAACGCCATTCTTTCAGTGTACCGAGGAGCCTCTTCTTGCTGTTAGGTTCATCAGTATCTGCTGCATTCGTAAGTGGTTTTCAGTCAGGAAGGGCAGTGCCTTACTATCGGCGTAACATGGGTCCGGTTATTTAGGGGGTGATGTGTTGTTGTGTATGTGGGGGTAGGGGAGGGGGGAGGGGGGGGGGGGGTTGGTGAAAACTTCTATTGGTGCTTGTAGATGAAATGCAAGGAAAGAACGTCATGAAGTGAGGGGAGGGTGTGAGAGGGATCATATGATCTTCTTTAAACATTACCGACGGCTTCCCCCTCTACGTTTCTTTCTGTCTCTTTTTTATTTCCCCCTTTTTTTTTGTTGGGGGGGGGGGGGGTTCCTCTATGGAGATACATCACTGTTCTTTACACAAAAATGTTCAGGGGGGAACCTGTTGGTCTGTGAAGCAATTACCCATCCTAATTTGGCAGGTTGTAATCACTATTATTGTACAGTCAAACGTGTCACATATACCAGTTATGAGACCACTGCTCTATCCATCATGACTTTTTTTTCAGATATGCATTGAAATTCAATGATGTTTTTCCTTTAAACGGCTTACAGTATCCCCCCATGTGACCTTCATTATAATCATGTGCCCAAATTTTAGTTTGTTTATTTATTTTTTTATTCAAATTTATAAGTATTCTTTGTTTCTCCCTCAATTTTTTCTTCTTTCATAGTTTTCATTGTGTTCATCAACTGTGTCAGCATCAAGTTCTCTGCAAGACTAACCGGTTTTCTCACTTTTACCAAGATGTTTGGTCTCATAGCAATATTTGTGTCTGGCATATACAACTTGAAACAAGGTAAGGTTAACTTTCTGTTCTTGAAGCATGCCATGAAGTAAATTGGGCACTGGGAATAATCTAAGAAATGTCCAATATTGAGAGTGACAGATGAAGTCATACATGAATATTAACACTAATATAGAATTATGTGCAAACACAGACAAGTATGTCTAATGGTTTCTGAGGGAATGCCTGTGTTTTGATAGCTTTTGTCAGCACCACTTTTGTAACTTGTAGAGAAAATATATGAGAGATGAATAAAATCAAGTTTCCTCATTGCCTGATACTTTTGGAAGACAAAAGAATAACATTTGCCTATTATATTTCACATGTTATGACTTTGTTAAATTGTGTTACGTTCATGTTGGAAGAAAGACAAATGAAATTGAACTTGAACTAGAACGATGTTTCACTTACGAATCGATGATGCATGTTTGTAAACTAGGATGCACAGTAAGTTTGAATGAACTGATTGACGTTTTCTCCATTCCATTCTTAGGTCATACAAAGTACCTTGAAAGTGCCTTCTCCTCTGGACACCTAGATGTATCACTTCTTCCTGTGGGCTTCTTCTCAGGGCTCTATGCACTATCAGGATGGTAGGTATAGAGAGAACTCCTACCTAAAACATGACGTTTAAAGCCCGTCTGCACTAGTTTGGCCAGGAGGGATTAGACCTCCCAGCGTGGTCACTGACAGGTGGTTATCTCGTCAAATCAGCTCTCAATTTAAACATAGTTAAGAAAAAGGGGATCATGGGGGACCAGCGGTCACCGATTAAGGCATTGTGAACACAATGATTTGAGAACGAATTGTGCTATCGTAGTTAAACTTGATGAGAGTATGTATGACCATGTAAAGATTACCTGGTTAAATTTTGGGGTCAAGAGGTCAGGAGGTCACAGGTTACATGTCAATTTAAATGTGCTAAAAAGTTAAATATCTTGTTATTGCTTTAATCAGATAATTAAAAGTACTGATTATGTTGCAGGCTGAGGCATATTTTTGACTGCGCGGAGTCAACTTCTTTTTTTCTAGTTTTAAATTATTCATTATGTGATTTTAGTGGTAATAACATCAGATTTTTAACAAGCTTACTTTCTTTCTTTCTTTTTCCTTAATCATTAACGTATTTGGAACATATTATACAAAATATATAAAATAGTATACAAATAATGAATGCTTATGAGTTCAACAGTGCAAATATTTTCATGAGTTGAAAGATTAACATTCTATTCAACGAGGCGTCAGCCGAGTTGAATAGAATTAATATTCCTCTTTAAAGGAATGAAAATATTCACACTATTGAACGAATGATAAACATTCATATTATTTGTTTTATACAATATCGAAGTAGATCTAATAGAAGGTTAATCTTTCAGAAAATTATGCTTTGATCCCTACAGTATATTAAAGATAAATTAAAGTTGGAGTCAGGCCTTCTTGAATTTATTCAGATTGCCTTCCCGTACGCGCAGGGCATAGAGGGCATATAACCAAAAATGCATGCTCGTTGAATAGTACTATGCCGAATAGTACCAAAAATGCATGCCGGTGCAATTGTATATCTATTGAATATCATGTAACCAACAATCCTCCAATCAAATGACAAGGATCTACTTAGGTGTTGTATAATTGATAATATGAACATACTGAACATAGTATTAAATACATAAATTATCCACCTACAGTGTATATAATTATAAAAAACTTTGTTTCTCTCGAGTATTATAATGTACATGCTATTGTTGGTTCCTTCTTATGTTTTTTTTCTTTTTCTTTTTCTTTCTTTTTCATTTACAGGGAAATTATTACAACTATAACTGAAGAAATTGATCACCCAGTGAGGTAAGATCACACATTCTTCACATGCATGTGTCTGTTGTCTTTGATATTTGTATATCAAGTAGACAATATTGTACATTTGATTTAAATACAGAGCCAGCTTGTTCTATGTCATTGCTCAATTGAGCCATAACCTTTTATAATACAGAACATTTGACATTGGCATGTTTCTAGACTAATAATAATCATACAAATGAATAATAAATATTTTCTGTAATTTTAAAGCAATTTTCAATCTTTTCTGCTCATTATTTCAGGAATATACCTCTGAGTCTATTTATCTCTATGGCAACCATCACAGCTGTCTACCTCATGGCCAATGTAGCATACTTTACCCTCCTCTCTCCAGCACAGATGCTTGCCTCTGGGGCTGTAGCAGCGGTAAGTTAACAAATAAAGTGACAATTTCTTATAACATGCTTTACTAGTGAATCGATCAAATACTGACTTTAATCTGGTGTCGTTATCAACCAATTGGCTGGATTCAATTTTAATTTCTACATTTTACATTGCATAGTCTTCACTCTTATCATTTCATCCACTTTTCAGTTTGTATAATTCCTGTTTGGCCAATACCTATTTAGTCTAATCACTACTCGGTCTTATGCCCATTGGGTCATTGACCTGCTTGGAATAACTAAAGAATGTGAATTCCCAAATCAGAACAGTTTGATAGATGAAGAAAACAGATTTTCTGACACACAACAAAAAATGCAGGCTGCTCTTTTAACTATATACCAATTTAGTCTTAGACTGCAAAGATGCACAAAGCAAAGTACATATCCCCCGAATCTTTGACCATGTCTATGATGTACAAACTACAATGCAAACTAGACTAAAAAGGAAATGGAATTACAATGATTTTGCAGGACTACAGTGTGCTAGCTTTGGGGAACTGGTCGTGGCTCATCTGGGTCTTTGTCGCGATGTCTGCTCTTGGAAGTGCCAATGCTAGTGTTATCGCAAGATCAAGGTAAGATGTCCTCTATAAATTTAACTAGAGTAATTCTTTCTTCCAGATGGATTAGGTGGTAAAGTTTTAAAGTCATGTTGTCAGCAGCTGTCAGAGGTTTTTCACATGCTTTTTCAGTGGTCAATGGATATCTATTCAGTCCCATTGCTTTGGAAATCAGCCATTATTTCACCAGTACCAAAAATATCAAAACCAAAAGATTTGAATGATTACCGACCTATAGCATTAACACCAATAATCATGAAATGTTTTGAACGTGTCGTTAAAGGTATCTTGATGGAGGAAACAAAGGCATTTACTGACCCTCTGCAGTTTGCCTATCAAAAGAATAGGGGAGTTGATTTATGCTGTTGCTGTTTTGTCACATACAATTTTAAGTCACCTTGAGAAACCCAAGACATATGTAAGAGTGTTATTCATTGATTTCTCCTCTGCTTTCAATACGGTTGTGCCCCATATACTTATTAATAAGCTGTATCATGACATGAATATTAACCCAAACCTGTTGCTTTGGATAGGTGACTTCATGTCAAACAGGTCCCAGAAAGTGAAGTGTAAGGATATTCTCTCACAAACAAGGATCTTAAACACAGGTACTCCGCAAGGTTGTGTCCTCTCGCCTACATTATTCACATTATTCACAAGTGAAGTAGAAGACCAGACAAATTCCTGTTGGAAAGTTGTGAAATATGCAGACGACACTTGCATAATTGGTTTAATTACAGATAGGAATGAGAACATGTATAGAACCAAGGTGGATGACTTTGTTATGTGGTGTAAACAAATGTCACTGATCCTTAATATTAAGAAAACGAAAGAAATGATTGTGGATTTCAGGAAAAAGGATAATGTCATTTTGCCGCTGGCTATTGATCAAGAGGATATAGAGATGGTTTCAAACTACAAATATTTAGGAACCCACATTGACAAGGATTTCAGTTGGAACACCAATACTCAAACCATTGTGTCAAAAGTTAACCAAAGGTTATACCTCCTAAGGAAATTGAAAACATTCAATATCAGAAGGGAGACTCTTCTCTTCTTCTATGATAGCATCATCAAACCAATTATCTCCTTCTCCTGTCTTGTCTGGTTCTTTGGTCTCACTTCTCAAAATAAAATGAAACTGATGAAGGTAATGAAAATTGCAAGTAAGGCAATTGGCTTACTAGTTAAACAACTCGAAGAGATAGCTGAATCAGCTGTAATCGAAAAGTTCAATTGTATCATTGAGGATGAAACCCATCCTCTACATAGACATATTTTGTTCAATAAATCAGGACGGGTCAGGCTTCCAAAAGTAAAAACAAATAGATTTAGGATGTCATTCCTGATACGTGCCATAACACTACACAACGACAGGTTCAGGAGGTAATTGGCAATTATTTATTTATTATTTATTATTAGTTACAGAATCAGTTATTAAGGATATATGGATGTACTGCATATTTATTTATACTCTTGTAATTTGCCCATAACTGTATAATGATATCACCAGTTGTAATTTGTGTGTAATTATGTTTCTATACCAAAGCCTACACTGTATACCAGTCTGTACTCATATTCTATTGTGTGTTATATTTATTCCTGGTTTTGTACTTTGTATAAATTGATAGTACATGTATGTTAATTGATGTTATATAAATTGAGAAACAGCCGGAAAATGATTTTTATGCCATGTAAATGTGCATGATCAATAAAATTGAACTTGAACTTGAACTTGATACTGCTTGCTTAAAAGGAAATTGAACTTCGGTATAAAGTTAGGTCTGATTGGAAGCAAAAACAAATTAGAGAAAACCAATTAAAGAAAGTGTGAGCTGAATTTAATTAAAAAAGAATGAGATAATTACACTCTCTAAACCTGAGATAACATATGATATCTAGATCCCCTTATGTGCGTTTCAGCCATGATGCATGATGTCATAATGGGACTGCTTTTCCATTTGTTCCATAGTAAAGAAACAAACAATGACCTCTTTTTTTACTTTGTATTGTAGAAAGACATATTCTCTTAGAAATATTATAGTTTGTTTATACCTGTGAAGTCATAGACTTGTGTCTTTTCCGCAACAAAATTTTAGAAAGAGTATATTTTTTGTATTTTTTAATTTCAAAACTTTGCAACATTGAGATTGTTTATGATACCATGTTAAGCCATTAATCAAATCCAACTATCGATACAAAGGAGATATTCACGTAGGATTAGCTGGAGGTTTTAGAGTTTAAACTTAGAAGGTTCAATTTTTCCTATCCATTGTTTACATGTGGAAGTATTGTTCTCATGTTTCTATTCTTGTGAACTTATTCTCGTGGTCTAACTACGACGCAGGACTATATTTGTCGCTGCAAGAAAGTAATTCTTTTCAGAGATCATGTCCATGGTTCGATTTTTCCCGTCCATTGCTTACATGTGGAAATACTGTTCTCATGTTTCTGTTGTTGTGAAATTTTTTTGTCCTCTAACGACACGCAGGACTGTATTTGTCGCTGCAAGAGAGGGCCTCTTTCCAGAGATCATGTCCATGATCAGTATCAAGCACCACACCCCTCTACCCAGCATCGTCATCCTTCTTGTTGCCCTTGTGTACGTGATCGAGGACGATGTCATCGTCCTCATCGAGTACACCATGTTCGTTGATCTGCTCTTCATCCTACTCACATGCTGTATCTTGCCATACTATCGCTGGAAGTATCCAGACATCCATAGACCCTTTAAGGTAAGATAGTCAAATGTTGAGTTTGAATTGTTTTGTGGTCTAGTGGATAAGTCACCCGACTGCAGATCACAAGGTGCAGGGTTCCTCAGCATTAATTTCTTTCGGCAAGACGTTAATCTACATTTGCCACTCTCCACCCACGTGTTAAATGGGTGCCCGGTAGGATGCAAAAGATAATGTGGTTAGATGAGCAAGTGTGCGCTTGTAAAAATTACGCCTGGCTGGAATGCTCCTAGGGAGTGGAGAATGTGAATACATTGTGTGCGGGTGAGCCCGAATCCAATGGCCAGGGTTATAATATATCTGTAAAGTGCTTAGACACAATCGTTGACGTATTAAGCGCTACATAAATGCGAAATATTATTTTTATTGTTATTTGCGCTGTAATTGTGTGATAGGTGTATATGTGGCGAGTTGGCTCAGTCGCTAGAGCGTCTGCCTATCAATGCCCAACAAGATCTGTTGGGCTTGAATCCAACCCTACTGGTTAACCTAAGCCTTAATTGTGTGTGAGTGTGCCCCATCCCCCTGTTTCATTGATGTACGTACGCTAGGTTCCAGTGGAAAACACTCCATCCCTCAGATAGGATGTTAAAAGGGGGCCCTTTCTAGAGGGGAGTCAATACTTTTATATGTTAGAACCTACTGCACTCGTTGTATTTAGAAAGGGAAAACCTTGGTGTACTGGAAAGGAAAGACCAGGGGGTCGTTTCACAAAGATCCTAAGTTGAACTTATCTCTAAGTTGGACTTAAAAATTATGGAAAGCCGTTAGCATCTTTGAAAATATTTTGTAGAACTTTTTTAAAAGGCATGAAATGTTAATTCAAATCTTTCATATTTCTTTTATCAAGGAAATTTAATGTTCGTGATGTGTAATTCAGAAAAGTCTATAAAAATACTTGATTTTTTTAATTTGAATATATTTTATTTTAAGGCTACAAATGGCTCTCCATAATATTTAAGTCCAACTTAGAATTAATTTCGACTTGGGATCTTTGTGAAACACCCCCTTGCACTTCCCAGTCAGGTACCCTGGGAGGATAGTATACGTGCTGAGGGTTGCTTTTCCCTCTTGATGCCAGATGCCACACTTGATGCCAGAAATTTGGGAATGATTATAAGACAGAAGTATGTATGCCTGTTATATGTCTATACTCACATTCGAGTTGATTTGTATTCACATCATCACTTTACAAAAATTAACAATGGTAATTTCACATTGTAATCTATGAAATGTTATACTTGAGCAGGTTTTGATAGGCCTTTTATCAAAGCTCGATCGAGATGTTGGATATTATATAATCATGTCTTGGTAATTGAATCTCTTTTTCTACTAGATTCCTTTTTGAAATTGTATCAATGAATTGGCATAGTTTCGTAATTTCATGTTGGGAGTAAAGAACCTGAACGTGACATTTGTGTGTACTTTTTATTTTCCTATTCTTTTTTAGATTCCTCTCTTTGTTGCCGGCATCTACATTAGTTCTGTCATCTTTCTCCTGGGGATTGCATTTTACTCGGATCCCATTGGAAAGTCAATCGGTTTAGCCTTAGCGTTGACTGGTCTGCCAGTCTACTTTGCATTCCTTCACCCAAAGTACAAGCTGAAATGCACTGCTGCTATATCAGGTAAACCTAGGTTTATATAGTCTAATGTGTCACTCACATATGAAGCGGAAAACGGCAACATTATGAAGATGTAACTGAATGGCCAGTGGGGATGGGAATGGAAAGTGTATCTGAGCGCATCAAAGGTTTTAAGCATATTCGCTATCTATGCTTTATACGATACTCCGGCCCCCCCACTCAGTGTTATTTAGGGTACGCATATGCTTGTTCCCTCTTTTTGAAAGCACCCCCTATCTGAGGACTGCCAACATTTCCGAACCCCCCTTTCGCGGGCTTTTCCTGCCTTGGAGACCCCCTAAATCATGAAAAATGCTCAATGTACCCTCTAAATTCAAACTAATTTCTCAGGAGTCCAAAGACATGAGAGAAAAAAAGAAAAAACTCCCTTTTTAAAGAAATCTCCGGGTGAAAAGTTAATACACCACTTTTTTTACAATTCTTCGGCCAGACTTTGTCGCACAAAAAGGACCCCTTTACCGGACATTTTGGTAACACGCATGGGGTCCGTCCGTTCTCGGAGTGGGGGGGCCGGGTACGATACATAGCAACGTGAAGCGCTTGTGTCAAATAATGAAAAAACCACTGCGGTTTACCAAATCACATTTGAATGAGACTTAATACCAGATTTCATTTCATCATGTTACAAATGACATTTTTGACAGAACTTTGTAGATTAAAGACCCTGTGTGAAGTGAAAAAGGAAATAAATGAATCATATATATCAACGGATATCTTTTAAGCTGTAGATTACAATAATATCAATTACATGCTATTTTAGTGTCTCAGAGGAATAACAGCTTTTTAAAAACTTGAACTCTATGAAAAGCTTTGGAAATCAGAAGCTGTCAATCTATATTTAGCTATCGACTTCAAGACATCATCTTACGTTTCGGAGTTCGCATATTCACAATGACCTTGCATTAATTAAGCATGGCTCATTGCCTCAGCTATATAGGGGAGCTGATTGCGTCTGCATGTTATGTTGTCACCGTAACTGCGGTAAATTTGTTGACCCATAATTTGGAGGGGTACGAAAAATTAGGTTTTTATTTGCTTTTTTGGAATACTGCAAGGGAAAATATTTTGTATTTCTTTATATTTGTATTCTACATTCATTCAGCTTTCCATTGATATATAGTTGCATTTTCATCAGATAAGATCTTTAAAAACGGAGAGGGAGGGGTGTCTTAATGAATAACGATGAATTTTATAATTTTGAAAATGTACCCTTGTCATTTTTCTAGACTTTGAATCTAACATCATTATGATTAGTTTTGTTTGCTGTTGTTGTTATTATCATTTTGAAATACATGTTTAATAGATGGGATGGTCCCCAAACACTTGAGATGAGAGAAATATCTTGTTTTTCTCTATAAATACTACTGAGATGTTTTTTTTTTATTGATCAATCAATGCATACTTCTACGGCGAGCTGACATTTGTTCATGGGAGAATTGCTCCTTTATTTTAAACAAAGGTATAGGGTTAGGTTAGGGTTGCAATCAGGTTTTAGGTTTTAGGTTAGGTTAAGGGTTTAATGTTAGGTACAGTCAAACCTGTCTTTGTGGTCACCTCTCTATAAAGGCCACCTGTCTATCGTGGCCATGTATTTTGTCTCCCTTGAAATAGAATCGTGTATTGTACCTGTCTACAGTGGCCACTTTCTCTGTTGTCTCCCTCGGGTGGCCTTTATTGACAGGTTTTACGGTATTAATAGTGTTGGGTCCAGGATTGAAGTTGAAGTCTTAGTGTAGGAAATTGTTGCAGGAGCAAGTGTTGTACAATTGTTTGTATGTGCACAATTTGATCAAGTAATAGTATCGAATATTTCCTCATTGAATATTCATGAGAGTGATATGTATATGTATATAGGTCTGAAGTGTAAATTTGATTCAGTTGACAATTTTTTTCTTTCCTTTTTCTTATGATTGATGCAGGAAAGCTAACACGGTGTCTACAAAGAGTATTCTTCTGCGTTCGGCAGGAAAAGGAGACTTTCTAAGATGTCCGCAAAACAAACTCACCTGTTAACTTAGCTACGTCGGGACCAAATCCTAGTGTGTCTCATCTAACTGAAATGTTTCACGTTTTAAGCCAATAGGCATGGTCAACCTTAACTGAAATGTTTGTTCTTTTTAACTCGGCAACGTCAGGACCAATATATAGTCTGTCTGAAATCTTACCGAAATAGTTTTTAACTTGTTTGAGTCTTTTTTTTTCTTTTGGGGTTTCTCAATACATGTAATTTCCAAGACACGTGAACCAATATTTTTGTGCTATAAATGTGTGTTGACATTTAATTTATTTTTCACAATACTTCCTCTCCATTTTTTACATTCAACAATCGCATTATTCCAAGTATTTAAATTGTATGATACATTGTTACAGAAATTTGTTTTGTCTCTGAATAATTATTTCATTACAAGGATATTGATGCATGTTGGCTGTGGTTTTTTACAGCAAGTTTATTTATTCTTTCATTCATTCATTTTTTCGGGATGCTTATTCACATTCATATTTGTGGCTTACTACCTTGAATATTTTGCTGCCTGACTTGTGCAACCAGTTTCCATAGATGTTACGCACTTGGTTGATTAGGTTATAGATTTGAAATGTCGCGACTGCAGTTGAGCCTGTATGGTTAAAGTACTTTCTTCAACTGTTTTTGTTAAATGCTTCGTTTTGAACTGACGAGAAAGCATTATGTCTGAAATAAAAGAATACTACTTATTTTTATATGGAGATGAAAAAAAGGGATTGGTGGTGGTGGTTATTTTACCTGACTGCTAAGAAAGCATAAATGCTTGTAAGTAAGCAACCAGACGGCCGACAGCTTTAGGTCCTCTCCGAGGGACCTGGTAATGAGGATTAATGCCTTACCAAAGGGCACTAGCGCATCGCCTTGGTTTCGGACCCGGGTCACCGGATTACGAGACCACTGCTCTACTGACTGCTATCGCGCCTCCTCAAATTCTGTGATTGGATTAGGAATTCAAAATATACACTATTTATTGTTCTTGTATTTATCATGTATTGTTGAAACTAACAACCAAAAAAGTTATGTTATATATCATTGTATTAAATTTGCTATGTATAACTTAGCATACTTTTTAAATGATTAGTAAAATTATATTTTTTACAAGAGATATGGAGCTGAGAAATGTTCCTCTAAATCAAGTTAAATTGCTGGTTAGAAAAATTGTATGTAATGTACAGATATATTTATGAAGTATAATTGAATAAAAAACAGCATGTTTTATATCACAAGGAAATTTTGCTATCTATACCTTAGCACAAACTAGACATGATCAGTGAAATTATATTTTTCAAAAGATATAAAAGTTCCTCTGAAACATTTAGTGAAAATTACCTGTTTTGGTAGTTTTAATTGCGGTATTATATGCTCTGGCTCCTAACCATTAGGAGCCAGAGCATATAACACTGAGTTCCCATAGGACATCTATTTATTCAGATGGTCATATCTCAGCCAATACTTAAAATATTCAATTGGTTTTCGACATTTGGACATTATTTTTTATGCTCTTTCGGAAAATGAAGAAAAAATTGAGAAATTCTAAAAAATATATTTTTAATGACGTCACACTTCACCACTCTATAGAACTGTACTTGGGTTATTTTTTCTTTCTTTAAGGTGACTCATGGTTTCATATATCTGAAATGGGTTTAATTTCATTGATTATGTCTAAAGAAACTTTTCTTAATCTTTGTTTATAATCAGTTGAATCTCTTAAGCAATTCAAGAGATAAAGAACTGTTCTATGCTACTTGAATTTTCATGTGCAATACTTGTATTATACAGGGAGTATGGTCTATAAATTCAATTTGAGTTAATGAATTTTTATTTAAGTGAGTGGTTAGACCAATATTTTTCTACTGGCAGTGAGGTATATGTTTAATTTATTTGTATTCATAGTGTAACCACATTAATAACAGGTGTTCTAATTTTGAATAGACTGTCTTTTCCAAACAGTAAATGACTAAAGGCATGTTACCATATGTCACAATAAACCACAGGTATATACCGCTGTATTTCTTTTAAAAGCACCCTGTGCTTCACGTTTTGAATCTCATAAAACACAGATAAGTGAGTACGTATTACGTAGAGCCTTTATTATGCACAGCTACTTCTTTTTCTGTTCCCACATTCCACTCATCAGGTCATTACAGTTATTTGAATTGTATGAACCAGTTTAAGTAAAATGAAATAAATGAAATGTATATGCATAACTAAAGCACTATCACAGATATGCACATACCATGGGGTTAACCCTTCCTCTACCATTTGCATATTAAAGGGGAAGTCCACCCTGAAATTAAGTTAGTTTTAATAGGAGTAGAAAAATGAGAGAAACAAGTCAGTGAAAGTTTGAGCAAATTCTGATTAAAAATAAGGAAGTTAGGATTTTTGAAGTTGTGATCAATCAAACACAAATTGGCAACTCTATGACGTATCATGTGAGCTCAACTTCCATTTGCTCAGTACTAAAAAAATCTAAAATTTTCATTTTCCCTCAAGAAAAATTTCAACCATACATGCACCCTAAATATAATAATTGCAAATATGTTTCTATACTCCCCCTGCAAGGAACAAATATATATTCCGTCATCAATAACGAAGAAAACATGATTTTATGGAATATTATGCACAAAGCAAATGAAGGAGAGCTCGTATAATAAGTCACAGAGTTGCCAATTTGTATTTGATTGATCACAACTTCAATAATTCATAACTTTCTTATTTTCATTCAGAATTTGCTCAAACTTTCACTCACCTGATTTTCTTATTATTCTGCCTCTATCGAAACAAACTTATTTTGGGGGTGGACTTTCCCTTTAAACACTCCAAATTTGGATAAACAAAGGTTGAGGCCTTGTAAAGTTTACTATAATAACTTTCAAAAACAAAAAAACAAAAATCAAGATTGACAATGTAAAAAGGCATAATTAATAACTTGTCTCATTAGATAATTTTTTGTTTTAATATATTTGTGAATTTGGTGGCACCAGAAGGACTCTGTTATTCTGCTTCTAGGCCTGACTAGCTGAATGTCCAACTACTTATCCCAGATGCTCCAGATAACTTTTCAGCTTATACACATTTTATGATATTAAAATTATGGTGGAAACCATTCGGTTGCATTCTTGTCATTGTTCTAGTGTAGTTTGTTTTGAATTTTGCAAGAATTGTACTTTCATGCCATTGCCAGAATTGTTGGCAGTCATCTTTTATTGAAATTGTATCTGATCTACATGATGCTGTTGTTAAAACCCATTGAAAGTATTTTGCAGGCAGGGACTCTAATTTGACCCTTTAGACTTATGGGGCGTTGCAAGAGAGTTGCGGTTGATTGCAACTCAACTTTTTTTCAACGCACTACTAGTCTTCCAAATCTCCTAGGATTTTGTTAGGATTAAAGTTTTAACAAATGAATTAAGTCTACTAGATCTAGCTTTTATTCTCCCTCTCTCTTCCCCCCTCTCTCTTTTTTTTTTTTTTTTTTACAAACGGGGCGTTGCAAGAAAGTTGACCCGCGGTCAATTGCAAATTTGCAATTAATCGCAAGACTTACGCTTGATTTGTGGGATTTGCAATTGATTGCAACGCAACGCCCTAATTAAGATAAGAAATGGGCATTAGACTCACTGGGAATTAGGCGAAACGGTTAAATGACTAAGTGGTAGTGGACCAAATAGTAGACTAAATGGTACTACATCAAGTGGGTAAGCCTACTAACTAAATGGTTATAGACCAAGTGGTCATTAGACGAAATGATAATGAGACATCGTGGTTATAGACTGCATTATTGGACTTTAATGAAAAATAATCAAACAAACGTAGTAGACTTATTGGAGATGTGACCAAATTGAAATTAGACCACATAGCCATTAGCCTAAATGGTCATTAGACTAAATGATAAATAGACGAAATCACTGGCGTACCTATGGGGGGGGGGCAGGGGGCAGCCCCCCCCCCTGACGGGCTCCAGGGGAAAAAAAGAAAAATGGGAAAGAAAAGAAAAGAAAGGAAAGGAAAGAAAAAGAAAAAAGAAAAAGGGAGAAAAAAGGAAAGAAAGAGAAAAAAGGACAGAAAAAAGGAAGAAGAAGAGAAAAGGAAGAAAAAGGGAAAAGAAAAGGAAAGGAATAAAAATGGGGAAATTAAAAAAAAAAAAGACCATGGCCTTACGCACCAGGGGGGGGGGGGGGGCAGTTGACCCCAGATATTTTGAAAACGTACAGTTTTTTTCCTGAAAATGTAGTGTAGGCCTATACCAAATCCTTCAATTCTACTTTTGAAAATGCAAAAGTACCCTCATGACCAGTTCGGTCGCTCGAACTCCCTTCACTCCTTTTGCTTTTGAGATTCTTCGAAAACTTTTAACGTATCTTTCCCCCTCCCCCACCAGAAAAATATTCCGCATACGGCCCTGAAAAATTAAAACAAATGAAAATAGGAAAATATAAGTGATATAACAAATTCGAAACTCTTCGCTGGTGCGAACTGCTTGCTAGCCTATTTTGTATAAAATGTTTTCACTTGCTCGTCCCCCTGAAAAAAGAAAAGGATTAGTATTGCCTAGAATACAATTGTGCCTGCCCCGACGGGCACCGACCTGCAACCATGGCAATAACACACAATATATGTACCAAATGTTACTAAAAGAGACTAATTCATTCTCGCTCGCTACACTCGCTCGCGAATAAAATGAATAGACATTGCTTTGGAAACAATTATTGTGCCCACCCTTGACCTGCAACAATATCATTAAAAATGGAAGAGTTTTTTCGCCCTCTCGCCAAAAAGGAATTGAATCGCGTTAAACGCGATAGCGTCCATCCTGACCTGCACCAATAAAAACAAGTTTATTTATTAATTTCTATTAAAATAGAATTTATTTTTTTTGCTTGCTCGCTATGCTCGCTCGCCAAAATGGAATTGACACCGCTAACGTGCCCGCCCCAACCTGCAACAACCAGTTAATAATTATGTACCAAACGTTATTCAAAGAAGTTTTGGTGTGCTCGTGCTCGCCAAAACGGAATTAACATCTACTTAGACATGATTGTGTAAGCCCTGCCCTGCAACAAAAAAATCTGAAATTTATGAACCAATTATCATAACAAAAATATTGCTCGCTCGCTACGCTTGCTCGCCAAAATAGAAATAACACCGCTTTTAATAATCACGTCCCTGACATGGAACAATGAACCCAAGTTTATATACCATATTTTCCCTATAAAAGAGAAGTGATTTTTTGCTCGCTCGCTCGCTCGCCAAAATAGAAATAACACGCTTTCAATAATCACGTCCCTGACATGGAACAATGAACCCAAGTTTTATGTACCATATTTTCCCTATAAAAGAGAAGTGATTTTTTTTTCGCTCGCTACGCTCGCTAGCTCGTGGAATTATGTGCCCACCACTAACCTGCTACAATATTAAAAAGAAAAATGTAGGGGATTGCCTGCCCGCCAAAATGGGATTGACATTGCCTTAAACACGATTGTGCCCGCCCCCTACCTGCAACAGTGAAACAAATTTTATATAGCAATTTATTGAGAGAAAGATGTGTTTCCGCTCGCTAGCTAAAATGGGTATAAAATCACCCTAAACACAATATTGTTCCCGCGCCCTGCATGGGACAATTGAACC